TACAGCTATCATGTCAGATATCATTAGTTCAAGGATGGCGCTGAACTGCAAAACCAAACTCAATATGTTAGGTACGCAGAACAAAGTCAGCCTCCGCTGGGTCCCAGGACACATGGGAGTAGAAGGCAATGAGAAAGCAGACACCCTTGCAAGACAAGGATTTCCTACCCGCTGACAGGACATGAACCCTCCTGTGGCATAGGAACCCACACTATTAACGAGTATCTCAGACAGAAGGACAAAAAGAAAATGAGGGAACTATGGAATTCATTGGACACAGACAATCCAAGAATCTTCTAACCAATTTTGGAATGAAAGAAATTACAGAATGTGTCAAGGGAAGCAGGAATAAACTGCAAATCCTTATAGGATTCCTAACACGAGACTGCAAGTTAAGTGGACACTTAAAGAAGATTGGAATAATCCAAGATGGCACATACAGATTCTGCAAAGAGGCAGAAGAGACACCAACACATCTACTAACAAACTGCGGAGCTACACTAGCCCGCAGGAGGAAATGTTTTGGGATGTATTATGTGACCATAGAAGAGCTTCAACCGCTGAAACCGGGCCTATTAATCAAGTTGTTTAATGAAATAGGACTCACCGATGTGCTTTAGGCAGAGTACAGGGGATACAATAGCTCTTAAAGGGCGCAGTATACTATACCCTAAAATTACATCTACATCTACATCTAGAGAAACTGTCATTCACTTCGTTCTTTTATATTTTTTCAATAAATAGACTTTTGACTTAGAACAAAGATTCTTTAAAATAAGAGGATCATAACTACCATTTGTAGCAGTTACAATCTTACGGCAAATATTGGTTATCTTATTCTATTGAATTTTATGCAGAAATATGAAGTTGTCATAAAAGATCTGAAGGTTTTTAAAGAATCGATCAACATGTAAATTATTGATGATTGATGATTACTTAATCATCCCCGATATTGTTTTGAAGTGAAAGACTAGAAGTGAAAGACAACGTATTTAAAAACTTATAGAAATTGGTATGTACCCCCTTAGGATAATTATGTATAAATACATAAACCCAATTTTGTGTCTAAGAAAAAGTTGCGAAAACACTTGGTTTGAAATTAAACAATTATAGTATAATTAAAGAACATACAGTATAAAACTGATTACTGATTTCTATAATCTCACATCTGCACATGCACGAAAATACACACACACACGTGTACAGAGTTGAGCCTGCAACTTTCCGTAGTCCATCGGCGATTCCAGCTTTTGTAATTTACAAAATTACAATTACCGCAGGTCTCGAGAATCAATCACGCTAGTTTTGGAAGTACTGGATCAGATCTTCCACCCAGCGAGGTTGGGCTCCAGGGGCTAGTGAAGTATATTTCCTTTTAATTCATTAAATTCACTAATTTCGTGGTCCGATTGACCAATTAATTTATTACAATTAATTAAGGTTTTTAGTTGAGATAAAAAAGTCAATGGCACGAGCGGGATTCGAACCCACGATCTTCAGCTTGATACGCCGNAAAAGGTGGGGTTGAGATGGGAAGTTGGTGTCCGAGTGGATCGAGGTCACGATAGCTCAAGTGGTAGAGCAGCGGCGTATCAAGCCGAAGGTCGAGGGTTCGAATCCCGCTCGTGCCATTGAATTTTTTATCTCAACTAAAAACCTTAATTAATTGTAATAAATTAATTGGTCAAGCGGACCACGAAATTAGTGAATTTATTCTTAACAATGGAAATTTTACGCGAGCTTTTTTGAGACCCGCTCGCACACATAATTCATGTCATACGGAAGAAAAACATTTCGAACTGGAAGGAATCGAGCTGCACCCACGCGAACCGTGACCTTGTTCATTGAGACTACCGCCCCTACGACCAATGGCCCACTTCCACAGTAGTGTCATAGAAGAATAAGTATAAACTAACGGAGCTGTTTCAGTCAAAATCCAAGGTTACCACGAGGTAATTGTGCCTCAATATTATATAATTATAAAATTTGTGTACAATATAAAATAGGCTCAATTCTAATTCTCAAAACTACAATTTTCGTACCCACCATATTATATATATGTAACCTGTGGTGTTAATGTTAAGTGCTATCGCTGGCTAGGCCATCAGCTTTCTCGGCATGCAGATGATATCGAAATAAATCGCACCATCAGCTCGAAAGTCCGCAATTGTAACGCACCCAGATCTGTCTTGATCTTGAGAATCCTGCGTGTGTCGTTAAGACAGGTTAATTTTTGTGATTTTTCGACCTATTCTCCGTTTCCCTGTGTTACGTGAAAGAACGATGTTGGAAATATTTTCACCCACATTTGCAATAGAAGATAAGATTCACGCCCGCAAAAACAGGCGCAATAACAGCCAAACCTTTGGAACGAATGTTAACTTGACACGGAAGTTTCGTATCATTGAAACGAACCGAAGACAATTATGACGAAAAACCCGTCTAGAAACCAATATTCGGTAATAAATGAACAATCTATCATTAATTTTTATATTTTTATGCACATAAAAAATAAAAATATCTTATGACAAATAATCTTTTATTCAACACAATTCTCCAAAATGTATTCGTAAGATTATGTTCATTTTTAGCCAATCATATTTCATTTCATATTCATAGTTACCTCACGCTGACCCCAACAAAAATATATATTAAGCATAAAGTACTATATCGCCCAACCTCTATGATCACACATACACCCTCCTCGCACTCTCTCACTCTGTCTCTGCCTGTCTGTAGGTCACTCTCCCTCTTTCCCTCTCACTCCGTCTGTCTCTCGGTCTCTCTCCCTTTCTCTCTATCTCTCGTAATATTACGAAATATAATATAATCTGTACCACGTTTGCTCACTGATTGTTTTTACTAAAGTTTCCTCAAGTAGTTTCCAACGCCGCTGCTCTACTACTTGAGCTATCTGACTTCGATACACTCGGACACCAACTTCCCATCTCAACCCAACCTTTCGAATTTTTCAAATTTTCGAATTTTTGCAAAATGGCAAAAACGAGGGAAAATTCAAAAGGTTGGGCTGAGATGGGAAGTTGGGGTCCGAGTGTATCGAAGTCAGATAGCTCAAGTGGTAGAGCAGCGGCGTATCAAGCCGAAGGTCGTGGGTTCGAATCCCGCTCATGACACTGACGTTTTTATCTCAACCAATACCTTACATAAAGATTAATTAATTGTAAGATGTTATTTCATCAATCACATCACGAAATCTAATGAATGTAAATGTTAATTAAGTATTCAATTTAATGTTTGCTTTTGATAGTGATAACCGTCTCCATCACCTAATTCGGATTGGACTGGCTAATTTATCAAACTTTAATTTTCTACATAACTATAAGTATCTAATTTTAAATATTTGAATACGAGGAGCTAAAAAGTTTTGGAAGCTCTGGACTAAAGCATTAATAATGGGTAACAATTTGTTATTATAAATGAAAAATAGAAATAAAATGTTTTAATAAATTATTTTTAGCTGATCAGCATTTATAGACTGAAGCGTTGTTCTTTTCATTTTGAAATTAATCTATAAAAATATTAACAATTAAAATAAACAAAAAACGTGAAATTGCGTTTGACGGATTTACAGCATTTCGGAACAGTATTTTATCGGCAAATTCTTTTCTCTGTAATTATTTCTTCAGTGCTATTACTTTAAGTTATTAATAATTTTTTTCAACTCAATTCAAATACAAAAAAGTAATAGTTTTGAAAGCAATTGTTACACGTTTCTTTGTTTATAGCTATTACTATTAACAGGAGAACAATAACAGATTAGAGGAAATTATATATTAATAAAATTAAAAATATATTGTTAAACAATTTCGTGTAAAATAATGATACAGAAAAACGTAATCAGTCGGATTACTGGACACTTTTCGGCCGTAAGGGCAATCAATTTAATCCTTAACCGCCTCGATGAGCTCTTTCTTTACAGTGGTTTCAGACTGAAAAAATCCTTTAATCGTATATGAGAGAAAAACGGGACATTCTTCAAGGGCATACGTTAAATAGTTATATCACAGATAAGACAGAAATTACATGTTTTAATTTCAATTCATGTTAAAGTACCTTAAAATTTTTTTACTTTGTGGTTCAAGTTAAGGATTGAGAAGGCTTCTGGCTATGCCCATATTTTTCTTCTGTACTTTTTGGAATATGTTTCACACTTTCAATTTGTAAATTTTGAGCTTTTATTGAAAATATTTTCAATTTTGTTTTTATGTTAAAAACGAATTAAGTTAATTTGTTATTAATTAGTTGAGATGAATTGTTGAACTTTTGTGATTACTTTATGAAAGAAATAAGAGGCCAAAGTGGAAGAATAGAAGAAAAAATCTATCAGAAATTAAGGAAAAAAGTTTTTATTTAGATATTCTTTCTCGATTTTGAAAATTATCATTAACATCGACTGGTACTCACTTGTTGTCGTTATCGCTTTGTCGTGTGAGGCGTTTCTCGAGTTAGTTCGCAAGAGAGTGAGACGTCCTAGTCGGGCATACATGTCTAGGGGCTCGGCTCGTCCGTAGAAGAGGGAGGGTTGCCAGAAGAGAATAGGGTAGAAAGGGGGTGAGTGTAGCAAAAACTAGGATGTGAGCTGAGCCTGACGGCACAAGTTGGAGAGCACGCACACAGGGCTGAATATACCTCAGAAACAATCACTGGGTTCAATAAGGGTTCCGCGATACCCAACCTAGTTCCCACGAACCTAAATAAAACTTTATTGAAAACACGGAATACATTTATTTTTGATTGACGTGCGAACGTCAACCATCCCGGAGCCGAAAGTTGTGCAGACTATCTTTATCGGTATGTGGCCATCTTTCGTTCGTTCCAAAGCAAGTGAGTTTTCTTTGCACCAGTGGGGCAGTTCGCTATATTAATAAATTGGCTTATTTTTGGATTACTGAGTCTTTGCTTAAATATTCGATTTAAATGGTGAAAGAATTAAACTTTTAATTTTGGGTAAATAAGAAATTTATTCAAAACAGATGACCCAGAGACAGCCTATAATGTTTTCTTAATTTCCTATATTTTTCAGACACAATACAACTTGGCAGTCCAGTATTTTTTGTTCTGCATGGTACCATTTTCACTGTATTGTTTAATTAAATAAATATATAAATTAAATTCGGAGATCATAAAAACTGTGTAAACTAGATTTAAAATGAGATCACTATTTAAATCAACGTAGGAAAACTTAGTACACTTGTTATTTTTCAAGCACGAGCATTTTCATAATTTTGTTCATATTGTGTCTCGGGACAAATCATTTTGACAGTTTTTTGTTTAATTTTAAGCAACCGATGATGGAAAGGAAGAGCAACAACAGCTGGTAGAGTATGATGATCGCCACCGCGTACAGGATCAACATCACCTCTTGCGAAAGCCAAGTCTTCAGAGGCATAAAACACCCCTGGAAAGAAATACGCTTTAACATTACATCCTTGAAACGCGTTTTGTTTCAGCATACCTCGGTGTGCCGGCCGAAGGTGTGCGCCTCCGGGTTTTTGTCTTGACACAGGGTCACGTTGACTGGCTGAGGATCGAGATAGGACTTGCTCGAATGTTGAATGCAACAGGACAAAGGCACGACGAGCCCCGGCGACGCCAACTCCCTCAGGGACCACCAAGACGTGCTGTATTCCAAGCCATTTTCTACACCACAGCAGTCCCACTGGAATAAATATGTACACTTAAAATAGATTTTCTCCCAATACTGGCCTGTTTTTTTTTTTTTTTTTTTTTTTTTTTTTTTTTTTTTTTTTTTTTTTTTTTTTTTTTTTTTTTTNGCCCAGATCAGCCTTGCGTCGTAGAGATTCCCGTATCTGGAATGGACCGGCGAAATCTACTCCCGTATTCAGAAATGCTCTACCTTGTTCAAAACGTGAGATGGGCAAATTCCCCATGAGAGGCGCACTGGGTTCAATTCTCAGACGGTGCAGCGAATGCAGCGGTGAACACGAATTCTTACAAGCCGTCGCGCGTTGGGAACCCAGAATCTTTGCCGCAGTAACGCTAGTAATAGTTGAGGCCCAGCGTGAGAGTAGACCCTATGGAGATGGTCGATCAACAGCGTGGAGAGGTGGGTTTTCTTGGGCAGTAGTATTGGATGCTTCATTTCTTCGCTCACAGGGGCATTAGCTAAGCGTCCGCATATATTAATAAAATTTTCACCTTTTTTAACGTTTAAGAATTGAGTCTTTGTCTAGGGATGGAAATGTCTCTTTGTTGGAGGTTAGCCCATTCTGCACGAAGAGTCTTTTAATATCGTGGAGTGAATCAGGAAATGATGGATTTGCTCTTCGTTCAAGTCTGGAGAACGGGCTGGCCAGGCTAAAACCCTGATGTCCTGATGTTAATTAAAGGTTCGTTTGTACTGTGCGACCGACATGTGGACGGGCATGATGTTCCAAAATTTCGTCCACATAGCCAGTGGCCGTGAAAGACCCTCCACGAACAACTACCAAATCTGTCTGACTCTCCATTGAAATTCCCGCCCAAACAATCGCTGAGCTGCTTGAAAAGGTTGACTCTGGGAAAAATTAAAGTCTTCGTACCTTTCACTTCGCGTTCTCCACACTCTTTCAAGCCCATCTGGAAATGGTAGAACAAATCTACACTCATCTGTAAAATGTGCAGCAGACCAATCGTCTAAAGACCAATGGCTGTGTTCTCGAGCAAATGCGAGCCGTGCAATTCTGTCTGTTCAGGTCAATTCTGGTCCTCTTACAGGGCCATCAGTCCATACTGATTTAATCTTCATCGAGCAGCGCGTTAAGAAATTTGGACACCTCGAATCGCTTGAACAACAATAAACTGTCGGTTTCGTAAAATTCTCTAAGTCAAAAAACGATCATTCTATGGTTCTGTACCCTAGGGCGTCCATAACCGGTCTTCTATGGTAGGACCCGGTTTCTCAAAAACGTCTAAAGACGTCTCGCAGTGTTTCATAGGTAACTCCGATGGAAATAGCAGCAACCTGATGAAACGTCCATCATCAATAAGAGCCAAACCACGCGCAACATCCTCAGCACTAAATGGCATTTTATGTTTAAAAATTGAAATTAAGAAAACTAAGATGAAAACTAAACAGTTTTTGCTTCAGAATTTAAATGAGACTGAATAAACATTTTAAATTCCGTAAAAATTAAACAGTGAAAAATCCTTTATCTTTGTTTTGGATTAAGGATTACGTGTGTTTACGTCAAATTGATATTCCCAATTTAAAACATCGCTCAAACAAATATTTATTGATAAAAACAATGAGACAAATTAAGGGCAAAATTTTCTCTTATCGAGAAAATGAAAAAAAAAAAAATCAATCGGAATTATTTGCCTATCAGTGTATAAATGTCCACTAGACGGGCCCTTGACGATCAATTATATTGCACAATATTACGAATTGCGCAATGTTTTTGACCGTTTAGGATTAGTATTAAAATTTCCTGAAAATAATAGAAACGTCATTTAAATTAATTAATTAGCTGAAATAACATGATCAAACCATCGCAGACAGTTGATATCAATCGATTATTCAAAATCCTTTCACATGCGAATATTTGTCTTTTGCCGAATTTCATTCCAACGGTTACGACTTAAATAAAGAGACATGCTTTCGTACAACTCAATCAAAATCATAATGTATATTGTGCATTACAATATTTCGGCAAAGTAACACGATGTTACAGTGCAGTGCGGGGTATGGACCAGTCTGGGTAAATTAATGAAAATATTAAAATAGAGCCTCTTACCATCGTCTGAATCATATCCACTGAAGCGGTGTAATGCTCCCTGCCCGGAACTCCATAGTTGCGTTGCCAGTTGTCAACGAGCGTTTCTGAATCTACGTGGATGCCGATGTATTTTGGCGTGACAGCGAGGAAAATGACAGCGGTGCATTCTACAATCAGCATGACGACTATTCCGAAAATGTACTGTCAACAGAAAAACTACTGAAGGAAATTCTGTCGTAAATAAACGTTCGAAGGGCATACTCCCGCCAGGAGGTATTTGTTGACTGTGGCAAGTGCGAAGAAGGCAATAAGGGCCAGCCCGGCAACAGTCAGTCCGATGATTGCGCTGCTGATTGAAAAATAATAGGTGAGCGAGTTCGGCAGGATCGTAGGTACAAGCCGTAGCATGTTATCCAGCTGGTCGTTCAATGTGACGCTCAAGCCAAACACGACGAGGCATCCTCCACCGACCTAAACAATAGAACGAAAAATTATATTGGTTAAGAAAAGAGAAGTGTTTGCATTTCAGATGCAATATCTGACGGATATGTCTGGTAAAGCATTCTTAACTTGAAGGGGCATAGAGACTGGGGAGCTCAAGGGCATCTTTTTTTATTAATTACCATCGGTACAAATTATGTTCATTATGTAATGAGACACAATACAATTTTATTTAGCTTATGTATTCTGAGGGAAGCACGTTACGTATATTTGTTAGGAGGCCCCGGGGCCATCTCCGCTTCAGTCGCCTTTATGGTTTGTAGGAATAGCGGACATGGATTGAGCTAATGATCAGGATGGGAGGATAGTTTTTCGTGGAATATGGAAAATTTCTTGGAGATTAGGTTTTAACGAAAGGCATTATGAAAGGTAGTGTTGGAAACGTAGTTGGAAGCGTCGACATGGTTCTGAGGACTTTGGATTGGAAGGACTATATTCTTTGGAAGTCGGATGTCCAAATCCGTTCGGTAGTGTCTTATCAACTGTTACTTTGTTTTTGTTAATACTTGTAGATGATCTTGATAATATTTGTTAAGTACTTCGAAGCGCCTGTTTAATTGTTGACTTTGAGTTCGTGTATGATGGTTCCAGGTTAGACATGAGTCGAGGTGGAACCCAAGGTAGCGTACACGTCAGTTTTGGGATAAGATTTTGAGGAATATTGTATGATGTGTTTTGTTCAGGTAATTTTCGAAGGGTAAATTGTCATATTTGACCATATTAATTATTCCAATTAATTATTATTTTTGTCCAAGGCTTTGGGTTCGAGGTCCGCTCGTGCCACTAATTTTTCACCTCAACCAAAAACCTTAAATAACGAGAATAATTAATTCGTAAAGGCAATATGAATACATTTGCTTTCATTTATCTTAAGACGCCAGAATTTGCTCCATTCGGCTATTGCGACACGTGTGCCTGTAGCCCCTCCAAAGCAATTAGCATCAGAACCAGCCGCACAGCTGTGTTAGCAAAAGAAGCTGGGTGAGTGGAGAGTATAGTCTCGACGTGCTTTCAGACTTCCCAGCCCGGGCTGAGTGTATGCAAATGTGTAGCATCACTTTTACAAACAATTAACAGCAGGACGTCCATTATCGTTCTATTAGCTAGGAGCGAACGATTTGACACAAGGTATCTGCAAGTACACGAGTTAATTTGTAAAGGAGACCTTCATGCCACACGCGATGAAACGCTTGTGTCATGTCAAGAAAGGCCCCCGTGCTGTATTGTTCACACTCAATGGATGAGGATATGTGGTCCGCAACGCACCTGCTGGGTTGTGGGAAGTTGAGGACGAAAGCCGAACTGGTGGTTTGGGAAACGGTTGGGGCAGTTTAGACAACGAGCTTATCAAATGTTTTTGAGAAGATGGAAGTAAGCTGATCTGGTGGTAGGAAGATGCTTTATGGATGGGTTTTCCGGGTTTTGGGAAAAGGATATTGAAGTATTTTCATAGCAAAGGGAAGTGAGGGGTGCGGAATATATATGCGAGTAGGAGGCTTTGTGAGGAATTCATTGAGGATTCGGGACATGATGAGGTCAAAGTCAGGAGCCTTAAAAGAGTTAACTCACTTTACTGAGCGATTGATTAATCTCTCTCTCTCTCTTCCTCCCTTCCTCCCTCCCGAATACCTTTTTGACCTGGAAAACACCTCTTTGAGGAGTCTGTTAAAAAATGGTCTCTTATATGAAGTAGTTCAACGAAAGTGGAAGAAACAAGAATTTTTCCCAGCTGTTGAAGACAACGTCGGTCTGACCTGTACGAGGATCACACCGCAGCTAGCCGAAACACGCACCGGACATGGACCTAACATGAAACACATGCACAGATATGGACTTGCGTATGCGGTAGTACCGTTCAGGATGTAGATCATCTCTTGATCTACCGCCCAGTGCTGGAGGATGTAAGAGCGAGGTTCATTCAGCATCTTATCCTGAAGGGAACTCTGGCAAAAAATAAAACTTTGCAGAGTTTTATAGGCACATCAAAATTCGAAAAACCCACCTCAGTTTACGCATGGAATTATGGGTAAAATAAATTTAGTGAGCTGAGATAAAGAGCTAATTCATTTCATTGAGTAAACGGTTTTGGTCCGATCCTTAAAAAGAGCGTTTTTCTCCCAAAACCAAATTACGTTGAACTACAGAACTAAAAGTTTTTGTCCTTTTTTCATTTCCATATGGAGTCGTAAGTATTTGTTCGTTTAGCACTACTTTCGTTTCGTGTACCGATCTCTGCTAATGGATTTCCTGGAAGATAATCGTTTCCTTTATGGTAGTTCAAGGACGGTTTTCTAATATAGCATAGCCTTTTCCTAGCTATTGCATTTCGGTTGCATAGAATATGTTCTGTCTTTGGGTAGAATTCTTCTCAGAGGTAGCATTTAGTCATTTTCTAATATTGTAAATTAATTAATTGTCTTCTTGTACTTTATTAAGTTAAACCTATTTATTTATGTATGTCTTTAGATACCATTGTTATTTAATTTTTAGTTTTATCTGGGCTGAGTGCCTTGAGACGCCTGGCGTTGCGGTGTAACTTTTGAGTTTTTTCTTAATAATTTTTGACTTTTACCTGACACTTTATGCGAATTCTGTTTATTGGGGCTGTATAGAACATGTAAAATCACAAACCTGTTTATGTCAAGAAAAACTAAAGAAATTTAATTGTTACTTTCAGTCGTTATCATTTTCACGCTTCTGTGGCTACCATAAATAAAACATATTTCGTCGTTGAAAAAAATCTAAGATGGCAACATACGAAGTTTAAAACGAAGACTAGGAAGAGTTCTTGATGAGTGAATAGGTTCAACGAACGTTTTGCTGTTAGTGACGAAAGATAATCACAGGGTTTTCATTTACCTCACATTTTAACAGATCAATAAAAAATATATATATAACTAAATAAAAAAACCGTTCTACTTACGAGAAAAATAAAATTTGCACAGTAAAGAACTATTTTGATGGGTAACATTTGGAAATAGGAAGCGGACTGGAAGTTGAACGCAAGTGAGGAAGTTAGGAACCACGGATCAGTGAATCCACTTCCTTATTCAACTTTTTCAATCCGGTTGACCATTGTCGCTTTGTGGTGTCGTTCCAACTAACTGTATAGTGCAATTTCAAGAAGCAGGCTGTGCAAAAAGTCTTACGTTTTGAACAACCTGTTAGGAAAGAAAGCTTTAGATGAACGACGACTAAAGCTGAACAGTTGGACGAAATTACAATAAAAATTTTTAATAAGTACCACGCATTAATAACGTTTTTTACCAAAAAGGATAGTGTATTTAGGTCTATTTTAAAATTTTAAACTACAAGTATAATAAGCATGGCTAATAGCCGTCTGCTGATTTTACTGCTTAAAAGCTTACAAATACAGAAATAATAAAACAAAAAAAATTCGAAGAGAAAATTAACATATAGCAGAATCATAATAGATGGAAATATGAGAAAAAAAAGAAAACAAAAAGAAAATAAGAACCCCAAAAAAGGTAGCCTCCAACATCAGAATAAGAAAGGTTGCAAAAAGAATATTTTATTCCAAGCAAAATACCCCCTCTCGCATGCCCGAAAAGTGAGACCTTAGCCGCAGAAATCCAATGCAACTTGTGATCAGGAAAAACTTTGTTAAACCGTGAACATTAATTATTGCCACCTGACACAACAAAAGTTTTGATAAGAACAAATACATCAAAACCTCTAACAAAATCTAGGAAAGAAAAATCATTCACTTTAGAATTTAAACCTGCTATATTATAGCTTAACACAGAAATATATGAAGAGTTACAACTATTATTCAAACAGACGGCTGCGAAATCTCATTTAGAATGTTTAGAAGTCTGTTCTTGTTGGGAGACTGAGTTCGATGGTTTATGTTGAACTTTGAAGTAATCGCTGGCGAGTGAGTCCGTGTGAACGGCTTTCAGGAAGTCCGAAAGGTTGCATCCGACGAGTAAATTCAGCTGGGAGATACCATCTTCATGTCCGAAGCGTAGTCCGTCATCCAACGACCAGAAGAATTTTTTTCCGTCCACTAGTATATGGTTTGGACGAATTTTAACTTTTAAACGGGGGTTCAGTCTCTGAATTTCTTTCCTTAATAAAAGAAGTTTCATTTTTTTCTTTCTTGCGGAGACTGGAAGATCCTGAAAGACGACGAAGCCTGAGCCCTTGAGCATATGAGAAGATTTTATAATGTTGAATTTATCTTTTGGTTGTAAACCGTAACTAGTAACGGAGAATTTGTCGATCCATTAGCTCCTAAATGACGCACCTGGAGTTTTTCCGGAGAGATGTCGACATTGAACACTTACTTACAAAAGGAAGATATTACTTGTTATCCTCTGTGGAGTGTTTCAATCCTTTAAAAATCAGATTATTTTGTCGGGATTTTACTTCCAGATCTTCGAGGCGTGAATCCAAGTCGCGTAGTTTTTCCCGCAAAGCTTTGTTTTCAGTGCGTAAACGGGCGTTCCCCTCCTTGAGAGACTTCAGATCATTTTTGATATCGGATATGCCATCTTTGGATGCAAGAGATGAAAGTTTGGAGTCCAGGAGATCAGCGACAGCATCTTTTATTGCAGGCAGAAGATGTGGCGAAGATGTTTGTGAATCCATAATCGGATACGATTTTTTAATGATTCGCTCTGAGTCGCTTTGAGGGGATGTGCGATCTCTTTTATGGGAACCGGACATCAGACGTCCGGAAAAAAAAAACTGGGTCTGTTTATCAAACAAGAATGCAGTCGGAGACCTCAACGAAAACACCGAATATCTCGTCCGTTGGGCCACAACAAAGGGGCCTGAACCTTGCCCTTACCGAGTACAAATTAGCTTTGAAAAAGTTCAATGAAACTTACGAAAAAGTCTCGTAGCGAAGAATGCATCAACTGTACCCGGAAGCTGACACTCAGATTAAAAAACTTCAAAAAATCAAAGTAAGCGGCAACTTATAAACCACAAAAATAGAAGTAAATAACAGAGCCGATCTGTACCCTGCCAATGCTAGCAGCAAATTATAAAATTTTAAACGACATAGCTATAAAATATTTTTGATGATTGTTGGTCGAAAAACCCAGAAAAGATAATATATAAAATTTGACAAATATAAAAAACTGGTCATTTTCCTTCCTTGGCCAATAGATCAACAAAAATGGATCACACTACCTCAGTGTGAATTATTAACGTGAATAAAAGGACTTGTCCCCAATTGTCTAATTTATTAGCGTGAATAGAGAGGGCCTTATATTCAATTACCTCGTGTAACATCGATTACTCTGGGATAGAGTGAATGAATGTAACTTATTAGCGCGAATGAAAGGGCTTATCCTACATTATTCCGAGGAACATCCAGGTTATCTGAGACAGAGTAAATGAACGTGTGAAAGTAATTTATCTGGGTGAATAAAGGGGCTTTTCCCCAATTACCCCGAGGAATATCAATTCAGATTGAGTGTAATTCATTACCGTGAGTGAAAGCGTTTATCCAATATTATTCCGAGTACTGGAATAGAGTGAATGAGTGTGTGAATCTAATTTATTAGCGTGAATAGAGAGGGCCTTATATTCAATTACCTCGTGTAAAATAATAAGTGGGAAGTTTATGGGCCAACAAACAGCTGAGGTCATCGCCGGCCCTCTACGTGTTTTCCATCTTTTTCTTTTCTTTCGCGCATATTTTGTTTTAAACTGCAGCCATTTGAGCATCTCGATCTGGTTACTGACTCTCTGATTTCAGATATATACTACGTTGATATTCTAGAATGCTAGTCTCTCGTTTGTACCTCAGGTTGTCAAATACAGAATAAAAACAAAACATACAATACATATATATACATCACCACAAACATAGATGTCTGGTCACACTCATTCCCCCAGAGTACTCGATATTCCTCGGGGCGGGGTTATTAGCAACCCCTTCCTTTCACGCTAATAAATTACTTTTACTCTCCAGACGTCATATACTCACCCCAGAGTACTTGATATTCCTCGGGGCGGGGTTATAAACAACCCCTTCCTTTCACGCTAATAAATTACATTCATTCCGATAAATTAACACAAACACAACACTCGATAGAAACATTACCTCGTGTAATATCGAATACTCTGAGATAGAGTGATTGAATGTAACTTATTAGCGCGAATGAAAGGGCTTAACCTATATTATTCCGAGGAATTTCCAGGTACTCTGAGGTAGAGTAAATGAACGTGATTGAAAGTAAGTATTTGGGTGAATTGGGGGGCTTTTCCCCAATTACGTCGAGGAATATCGAGTCAGAGTGAATGAAATTCATTAGCGAGAATGGAGGGTTATCCCTAATTACCTCGAGGAATATCAAGTACTTTGGGATAGAGTGAATTAATGTAATTTATTAGCGGGAAAGAAAGCATTAATCCCATATTATTCCGCGTAATATCGATTAATCTGGGATAGAATGAATCAATGTAATTTATTAGCTCGAAAGAAAGCATTTATCCCATATTATTCCGAGGAATACCGAGTATTCTGGGTTAGTGTGAATAAATGAAATTTATTAGCTTGAATGAAAACGTTTACCCCATATTATTGCGAGGAATATCCAGTTTTCTGGGGAAGAGTGAATGAATGTGTGAATCTAATTTATTAGCGTGAATAGAGAGGGGCTTATCTTTAATTATCTCGTGGAATGCCGAGTACTCGGATAGAGTGAATGAATGCAATTTATTATCATGAATGATGGGGCTTATCCCCAATTACTGCATGGTATATCAAGTACTCTGGGATAGTGTGAATGAATGTTTGAATGAAATTTATTATCATGAATGATGGGGCTTATCCCCAATTACTCCATGGTATATCAAGTACTCTGGGATAGTGTGAATGAATGTTTGAATGCAATTTATTAGCGCGAATAAAGTGGTTTCTCCCCAACAACTCCTAGGAATATTGAGTACTCTGGGGTAGAGTGAATGCTACCATGTTTTGTGATGGCACTTGATGTACAGAAAGGCTAGTAGGAGGGTAAAGAAAAGAGTTACCGTTTTATTATATAGATATAACATCATTTGGCTGGAGACACAGGAAAAGAAATTAGGTTTAAAACGTGAGAAAGACAAGAAAAGGAAAGCTAAGAAAGAGAGACAAAAACAAAACTAGCTTTAAAAAACAAAAACATTTCACCTAAATTAACCTGTCTGTAAATAATAAATTGACAGTTTATATTCAATATAAAATATTATAAAGGAACAAATTTAATTTAATTATTGCATATTTTAACTTTTATTAAAATATACAATAGTCAAGTCCCTAAACTATCACTTGTTCCATGTATATACCCTTGGCATAGTGAAAGATATTCCTCTTGCTACCTTTTATTTTAAATCTTTTTGATTTTTCTGCAACTATTTCTGTGATCAGTTTTTGACATTTTCATACTTTAAAATTGCCTGATTTAACAACAAAAATGAACCCAATCTTAACAGTTTAATAGGGGCGTCGGTGGCCGCAACGGTTTAGGGGTTATTCTTACAAATTAGCTTTTTTTCAAAAACACCGGCACCCCGAGGGTTGATATAACCTCTGCTGTTGCAAACTCTCGTTGAAAAAAAAAGTTTAATAGAATCTTGAAACCATTACTGAGAACTTGACTGGTTAAATAATCATTCTACACATCAAGTCACAATTAAAAATTTAAAAAAAAAAAAAATAAAAATAAAGCAAATTTGGGAATGAATGGTACATAATAACACATTCATTGGTAGACAAAAATTTATTATTAAAGCTTATATGTATATCTACAAAAGTTCAAAATATATGTAATTTTATGAGCCGACAGTTTTCCAGATATACCATGGCCTTAACTTAATTTACCACTCATTAGAGATCACAACAGAAATAAAATGCAACTTACATGAAACTTTTTTTTTTGAAATAAAAAGAAAAACAAAAACCAGAATATGTTTGGTGCAAATGTTCCTCATGGAATGTACAGCAATTTACATATAATTTTATTTAATAACTAGTATGCACTCTAGATGTTTAGAATGCCTAACAATAACATATACAAATTACATGGACTAAAAAACATACGTGGAATCTATCACAAAATTTATTGTTCAAATAGTATTGTTATAGAAGTAAATAATAAGCCACTTTTATGAAAGGTACGTCTTCGTACTTTCCTTATTAACGGTATTAGACAAATGTTTAAAAGGCCACACCAAATCACAAATTATGTATGTGAAGGCCACTGAAGAACTATTATAATAAAAACAATAAAATGCATTATTGTTAATAAAGTTATTTACTACTCTAAATAATGAACACACTGCTTGTTCAAAGCTGCATAAAGCATACAATTAATTGGCACAGAATATGGTTTAAAATTGAAAAAAAAAATCACCATAGACGGGGAAAATAAGATAACAAAATAATATAAATCTTTTAGTCAATTGAAAGACCTTTCGTATTTGTTGTGTAGCACCTATTCTTTAGAAATTTTTAATGAATTTCGTTCCAATTAATTTTTTACTATTGCATCTAATTCTGATATATTATTTTACCATTTTACTTTTCTGGTGGATAAAGAAACATAAATCATGGTTCTTCAAACATATATGTTTATATTTTCCGCTAAGATAAACAGTAAACTTTAATCAATAAACTAAAATAACATTCATAAAACAGAAAACAAATTGTATTACAAAATTCTCACTTGTCAGATTTTCTAAAAAATATTTATATACAATATATATTGAGAATGTTTTAAACAATATATGAATCGAGTTCCAAAATTGTACAAGAATGTAGATAGTTTAACGGCCATCGTTTCTTCATCATTTTGCGATACCGATCATGATGATTATAAAGCTATTTACCATCCTGACAATTTGGCAAACGGAACAAAAAACACCCTGTACATCAATGTTCCCATTTTTATTAAAATAAATCTAACAAAGAGTAAAGAGGTAACAGCTATATATATTTTTTAATTTATTAATTTTTTTATTGAGAGGCAAAAATTAAATAATTTTTTTCTTATTGATACTTTAGATAATTTTCTCTCTTCGAATGAGATAAAAGGAGATCACCCATTCGATTCGTTGTTCAGCTCAAAAACATATGCATGACATACTTTGTTTAATAATCTCATACAAATGTAATAATTTATAACCTGTATTTTAAAGTCCGTCTCATTCAATGTCACATTTTTTAAAATAGTCCACAAATTCACTTTTAATATGACAAACGTTCCCACTCAATAAACTATAATATAACATCTTTTTTTTTTTTTTTAATATCATTTTCAACATTTATTTACAACTTCTAGCCTTGAATAAACCTATAAAATTCGTATTAACTTAATTTGAGGATCGGAATCCAACAAATCTTTTTTTTTTTTTTTTTTTCGTTGTAAAATATATTCAAGATTAGCAAATTAACACTGAATACTTGTTTTGGTCCTTACCATGTCAAATGGTTGTAAAGCAGTTCAAAATTACAATTACTAAATTTCTTTTATTTTGACAACACAGTTCAATGTCAAAATAACGTGCTTAATTGTAAGTTTTTTTCTTTTGCAAACTTACAACAAACACAACATATAATGATATGTAAGAAATTCGCCAGTTTCACTTTTTTTTAAATGTAAATTCTCATCAAAAGGAACTTTTAACTTATAACTAAAAGAGATAAACTTAAAAACAAAATTTTTCTTATGCCTTACTCGATAAAAGTTTTATAATGATATCTACTAGGGATTAGATAATTTTAAACATACAAAGCTACTAAAACAATCTGTATGAAAGAAAAATATCTTTTAAAGCTTACTCGTTTAAAGTGTGGTAACTTTTAAGGCTAAACAACTCGCAAAGCCTTAAATTGCAAATTTGACAATCACTTACTTTTTTTTCTCGCTATTAGCAACATACAGCTATATTATTCAATGTACTAATGTACAAACTAAACTAACTTTTTATAAACTTAATGAAAATATTAATAAGAGCATAATAATGAACCATAAAAATACTCTTCCTTTCTTGGTCAAATCATTTGAAAAACGAAACCGTATATCTAAGCAACTAGATTGTAATATTGTCAATTGTTCTGACTATATTTGGGCTTAAGGAAACAGTTTTAGTCTTTTTTTTGTTTTTAAATAAGCCAAAACAGCATTTATTCAAAACATATGCATGCGTTTAATGCATGACATATATAAATGTATGAAAAATATTCTGAAACACCACATAATTAATTGAAAAGAAATTAAAGTAATATTTAAAAAGAAAAGACAATGTATGAAACAAGCATCCTTCCTTCCTAGAATTTTTTAAATTTTTTTATATTTTTTAAATTTTTTTATGCAACAACAAATTATGTCTTGAAACAATTATGATGCTTCAGTTTTAACAGTTTGAGTGTGAGAGAGGCTTAGATCTTCGGCTTGTGCCAAGTGATAGTTGTCCCTGAGAAGGCTAAGCTGTAATTCTGCACTCATATTACCATTGCTATGGGCATGCGTGCTCAAATCTGTAGGTTCGTCTTCAAATTCAGACTTGAAGTGGACATTGTTGGGTTGTCCCGTCGCTGGTTGTTGTTGTTGTTGTGACTGAGGCTGAGTCTGTGGAGGCTGGGGTGGAGGAGGCGGAGGTTGCTGGGGCTGCTGTTGTTGCTGAGGAGGAGGAAGAAGTTGTGTTTGAGGTGCCTGCAGCTGATGGACAGGCACTGGTTGATGCGGTTGCTGATTGTTCATCTGATTTCTCAATAATGAAATGTGCTTGATGCTCTTTAACTCACTTGGATTTCTTAGGAATCTAGAAAAAAAAGATATAATGTATAATTATAATCTCAGTAAAAAAATTATCATAAACCAACAATGGTGGTGGATCTTATTTTTAATTGAAAAAATCACAATTAAATTATTTGTTTTAAATAAAAATGCAATTAACTAATAGCTATATAATTAACTTACTGATAACAGTGCCTCTCTCCTTGCACTTTTCTCAGAATGTTCACTCTATAATAATACCGCAGAGCTCTGGACATCTTGTCATAATTCATTGACAAATGGTTTTTCTGTATGCCCCATAACTTGGCTAGTCCAGGAGGGTCGACAATTTTGAATACACCTGCTTCTCGATTTTTCCAGGCGATGTACGACGTGTACCGTTGTAATGAGTCATTTAGCAACTGTTGCAAAAAGTCCCACAGCAATCTACCATCTGCAATAAGAAAGAATTAACGGTAATAGTAATTGATAACCTAATTTAAAAGTGTCTAAATTAAAATTTAAGTTGACTATCTTTTGTTTTAATGTAAGATTATTTAATGTAAGAACTACTAAAGGGGCTGCTGTTGCTGAGGAGGGAGATTTTATGTGAATAATTTCTTTTTTATGACTTCAGAACCCATAAATTGTGTACTGCATGAACTTTAACTTGGTAAAAAGGGGGGAAGCTCGTAAAATTTGCATTGCGTTCTATGATGAAACAATAATTGACTGCTCTGCCCAAAAGTGGTTCAAAAAGTTTAAAGACGTACTCTAGCATCACTTTTTGTTGATGAATATTAGTTTTCATGTCAATGGGAGAATCATTAATCATTGAATTATGTGAAAAAGACAATATGGAAGGGCTCAGGAGATTGTGGTGACAGGGGTTTTGAAAGGACAAGAAGAGGATTCAGAGGCTCTGGGCTAATGGAAACCAACCTTGGGGTGGTTCCGGCAGCCCTGGGTAAGCTCCAACCAAAGTTGATGGAATGGAGGTGGTGGTGGCAATCAAGGAGCTTTGGATAGTTATGGCAGTTGGAACTTCAGCAGAGGTTTTCAACAAAATTAGAATGGTGATCCAAACAGAATGACTGGATTTAACAGGCCTGCTTCTTAGTTGGGGTGGTTCCGGCAGCCCTGGGTAAGCTCCAACCAAAGCGGATGGAATGGAGGTGGTGGTGGCAATCAAGGAGCTTTGGATAGTTATGGCAGTTGGAACTTCAGCAGAGGTTTTCAACAAAATTAGAATGGTGATCCAAACAGAATGACTGGATTTAACAGGCCTGCTTCTTAGTTGGGGTGGTTCCGGCAGCCCTGGGTAAGCTCCAACCAAAGTTGATGGAATGGAGGTGGTGGTGGCAATCAAGGAGCTTTGGATAGTTATGGCAGTTGGAACTTCAGCAGAGGTTTTCAACAAAATTAGAATGGTGATCCAAACAGAATGACTGGATTTAACAGGCCTGCTTCTTACTCTGTGAATAAATTGTTGGCATGGATCGAGCAGGTAAAGCGCGCTATCCTTGTCGAGCACAGTGCCTGCGAGTGGTCTGATATAGCCCTTGTCTAGACCAGTGTGACAGGTGAAATCCACCTTGTTCACCGCTTCGACCTTGGCTGTAGCGAAAGCGACCTAGGTGGCACAGGCGGTGGAAGGAGGAGGAGACGGAAACAACGGCTAACAAAGCCAACCAGCAACAGGCAAAACCGAAATACAGGCTTGAGCTATGGCAGTGGGCAATAGAATATATTCCCAGACAGCCAATCATATGACCTCCTGGTGTTATTTTTACAGGACCCATTTTTCGTTTTTTGACAACCCATTTTTCGTTTTTTGACAATCCACCAAAAGAAGTCACTACTTTAAAGCAATAAAAGATAAATGTTTTGACGCTTTATGAGGAACCCATTTGCTATGTCTTTCCAAGTTGATGTAAGCTAGAGCTAATGGTTTCATTGTTTTTACATTGAACACTCTGGTGAGTTCCTGACATTTTGACTCGAATCAAGTTCGGTAGCTTCCCTCACTTCATTATTATTCGACAATTCCATCAGTGGTTCATTTTCAGTTCCCTTGTTCTCAGAAAAAACTTTTAGAACCAATTTTGGGCAGTATGCTCACTTATTGTTTCATCATCGAATGCAAAGAAAATTTTATGAGCAGCCTTGGCTGCCTCAGCACTGAGCTAAAATTCGTACAAGAACCACAAAAAATTATGACTTTTGAAGCTATAAGAAAAAAAAATTAAAATTTACAATGAATTATTCAATACACTTTTTCTTCTATTAAGTGATGTAAAACACTTAATCCTCCTATGTAAACAGAAATGTTGATTAAAGGTTACCTGGTACAAAAAAAGTTTTTTTTTTAGATTAAAAATTAAAATATATTCATCAGCTTAAGATTGTCTTGATTATTGAATGTAATTAATATTTTTGGCTAATTGATTGTATTAGAATGTGGTTTTATTTTTATATGCAAAATAGTCTATTTATTGTTAAAATTATATCTAAACATGTTTTTTATTATCTAGCTTTTATTTTAATACTACTTATGAAATTAATGAAAATATACTTGTATTTGGTTCTGATATATTATCAGAAGGGAAGAAAATTTGTGGTTTCACATTCAACGGTGACTGAGGCTGAGGGCTTGAAACAGCTGCTTGAGCATTTGGACTATTTGGTTCTTCTCCTTCAGAATCGGAAGGTGCACTTCCTGAACTACCGCTATGACCTGACTGGTAATCTAAAGAAAAAAAAATATAAACATAATAAAATATTTTTATAAATAGGACCAGTTCAAGATATACTCACTTATTACGGAAGGATATGATGCAAGGTTCAAGTTGGGGTTCTGATCAGGCTGTCTAGGCGACCCCTGACTATCCAAAGATGGTGCTGGGCTAAGTGTGACGGAATTCTGAGAAGCTGGGAATTCTATCGCAGGTGGCATAGCCCATGTAGGCGTTAGGGGGAAATGTGGTGTTATAGGGGAAGAAGGGAGCCTCTCTCTCATAAGCAAGTGCAAAACATTATGAAGAACATCCCCACAGCCAGGACTCCTCTCGTTCAAATCTGACTTCGTCAGCAAGCAGAGAGCTTTTCCTGAAATAAACATTTTTGACTTAATATAATGGGAAATTAAGAACATCTAAATTGATATTGAATGAACAAATATTTAGCCAGCAGAGAAGCTCTCACGTATCGAGAGCACTGCAATAGGTGGCCTTCAGAGGATATGACTGATAGAAGAGAAGTCATCCCCACCCCATTAAGGAAAGGCCATGCAAGGTTGACAGTCTTTGTGTACACCTAGTTGAAGGGTGAAATTCCTTGGAACCCGAGAGGGTGTATGAATGCCACCTGATATGAAAATCATGCTTGAGATGGCAGCGACTATCTGGGTTGCCTATTCCGATTTTTGGAGGAAACACGGTTGTTTTTATTGTATATAGACTGGCAGTTTTGTATACCTAGCGTATGTTGATAGTAAATGTCAAGAGGGCCGAAGGCTAAGTTATAATAGATGTAAAGGGTGATGGAGGTATATCAAGTTCTCCACTACCTTAACTGAGTGAATGGTATGTAATAAGAAAGAATGTATTAAGAGAGTGAGAGAGTGAATGGTTTGGCTTTAGGAACAGCAACTGCATTGGGAGCTGAACTGACAGCTGTTGACTGCCAAACCGTAGAGGCTGGATGGATAAGACTGAGGTCCAACCCTGGACTTCCACACCTGGGGTGGGTGTTTCTCAAGGCCTACTGGTAATTTATTGTAAATTACAAAAGCTGGAGTTGCCGGTAGACTTTGAGAAGTGTTCAGCTCAACTCTGTACACGTGTGTATGTATTTACAAGTGTATGCGGATTTGAGCATATATAAATCTTGAAAACTTGTTCTTTCATATAAGTTTATGGTAAAATCCTTCTCCTAAATAAATTTACCCGAAAATAATGTTGTGGGTTAACAGAATGGGCTTTGGAAATATCAGTTACTATCATACATTATTTACCATTCATTTGGAAGAAGTCCATATCGAATCTAGGAAGATCAAACTCATATTCACACCAACGTAGGAATGCGACGACATCTTCTCTTGACCACAGCCTTGGATCACTCGCTGTAAAATGTTTTGTCATTAATATTAAAAAGAAACAAAATTAAAAAAAAAATTGAAATAAAATTACCTAAAGACGTTGGAAGTTGTGTTTTAAAATCAAACTGGGGATAAGAATGAGTTGAAGGTTGGAATCCCAATGGGTATCTCCAAAATAGCTCAGGATGATTAAAAATGGGTACTCTTTCCATATTTGACCCACCACGGTTGCCACTTAGGAGCACCAGCTTCATAGCCTCCCTGAGGAAAAAAACAATAAAAATTATAAATTAGCAAACAAATACATCAATGCTGGTAACGCTATTGTGACTTTAGTTTAGATTTTAATGACCCGAAAAAAGTCAAAGTCAGTATTGATTCCTTGATAGCAGCTGTAAACGATTCCATAAGAAAGGATTTACTGCCCAGGGTTGCAAACTTCCACCATTATATGCACTCGAGAGACAAAGAACTCTACCCAAATGTGAAATGTGCAAGGCAGGTAAAAATAAGTTTGAAAACAAGTTCTATTGGATGGTTAGTAAAGCAAAGTGGGGAAGAACTACTAACCCTGAACTTTAAACCCTACTAGGTTTCAGAATGGGAAGAGTGTTCTTTCTATAATCTAAAAGAAGACACTTGTCACTTAATTGCGATTTGCCCTATCCTTTCCAATTACATAAGGTTAGCCTTCTGTGTGTTGTCAAGGCAGGACTTTAGAAATATAATTTTATTTTTTCCTTACAGCTCAAACAGGACATAGGCACCCAGGTCAGAACTGTCAAAAACATAAATAAATATAACGAATAGATATAAAGGAAAAAGTTAAAATAAAATGTAGTTCTAGGAGCACTGATTTGCATTTCCTGATGAACGACCTGAGGCAATCGTGGAAAAGTCAGTCAATGTGGTAGTGTCATTCAAAAGGCGAGCAATTTTGGGCCCTGTACTGCTAAGCCTTTAGGTCTGGTGAAAATTTATATGGAAAAGTGGGACATTCTTCAGGGTGGCTGAGGGATCTTTAACCAGAACATGGAAAGGTGGTTGATCGAGTTATTGAGCACCTTCCGATAAAAGGATTGGAAACTAATTTAACCTCAGAAGCTCGATTAAGTCTTCTTTGAAGTTTGTGCAGAGGAAAGAATAATCATCATCTGATTCATGACCAATACTCCTAGGGGAAAATTTAAGAGCTCGCTCGGTCCTGAATCCTTTCCTGACTTCTAATGTCACCTTATTAGAGGGTGCCCATATAATCCCTGCATATTCCAAATGCAATTGAACTAACAATTGAAATAAAACTGACCGAATCAATAAATCCAGCAATAATTCTCTTAACAAATCCCAGAGTCAATATTGTCGATAGCATACTGGAAGGCGAACATATTGTGATGTAATTTGCTGGATGGATCTAATTGTGGTGCATTGGTGGAGTAAAAATTGGATTTACAGAAAAGCTCTGCTTCATGAATTTAATTTTTAAGAAAAGCAAAGAAGGATTTTTTACACTTTTTCTTTGAATCTTCATTGTATACCTTAATTCATTTATCTGTTTCTATTTTAATTTTTTTTTGTTCTATTATATGTTATTCATTTATAATATAAGCTCTACAGGCAAAAAAAGGGGCAATCATAAGCATACAAAACATAATCAAAAGAATAAGCTAGAATAAATAACATAAAAGTAACAAGATATATAATAAAAATTAATATGATAAAAACAAAAGGCTGGAATGTTAAAAGTTCATCTATAGAAACAACAGATAAGAAGAAAATTAAGCATTAAAGACAGAAGTTTTTAAAAGTATATAAAGTGTCTGAGAAAAAAATCACAGTCTGCAGGAATTGAGTTTCCCAAAGAAGCGAGACGGCTAAGCGTGTAATGTCTTGCGTAACCATGGTGCTCTACAAAAAAAGTTTAACCTCTCTCAAAAGATGTTGAAGAACTCTCAGGCCAAGACTTGAGAGAATCTCCGGTGGAATGGAGATCTGAGATTTGAGTTCTTTCTGTATGAAGGTAAGACTGTCTGACCAAGATTGAAGCCCAGTACAAAGAAGCCTATCAATGCAGGCACAGTAATTAAGTGTGCCAAATTTAAAAGACAAATATCCAGTAGCCCTAAGCTGGACATTTTCAACCAGGTGAATCTCAGTTTTAAGAAATAGATCCCAGGCTGCACTAGCATACTCAAGATGACTGCAAACCAATGACTGATATGACATTTTAATAGCAAAGGGGTTACAGAAATCTGAAGCAAAAATAATTTTAAGACATCAGCTAAAAGAGTGTACGAAGAAAAATTAATAATCGATGAAACACCGTTGAAAAATAATTTTAAAAAAAGTATTGGCCCAAGGTGTAAGCCCTGAGAGACCCCGGACAGAGTTTGAGAAGAAAATGTGAAGGACCCATTATACAAAAGCCTGTAAGAACTTCTAATCAAAAAGGAGTCGAGCCAAGAAAGATCACCTATACAATACGGCTTAAGCTTCCTGAGGAGAATCCCAAAGTTAACCCCATTTAAAGCTTTGGACATGCCAGTAAATAGCATGAACTCTGTGCCCCAATTCGAGATTTTTATTAATAATATCGTTGTAAAAAAGCAAGTTGATTGAAGTAGTGCCCCTTGACAAAACCGTACTGTGGCATTAGTAAATGCCCATCTTCCAGCAGAAAGAATTTCCATGGCATATCGTTTATTTTATTTATTTATTTATTTATTAAATGTACTGAATGTTCAATAAACTGCATTGTTATGTTGAAAAAGAGTAAATCCCCCTTCAATCAGTTTGACCGTTCCTTTCTTACTTTTCGTCGTTATCTGGATGCTTATGATGACTTAATCAAGAGAGATTATTTTCCGGCTGTTCGTTTTCTAAAAGGAAATTGGGCAATTTTGTAAGTTTCGTTTCCGGTTATCGTAAGATGCCTCGTCGTGAAAAATGCCATCGGGCGAATATCGTTATAGATTAACCCAAGACTTGTGTAGGGGGATCCCGAGAGGATGGAGAGAGGAACTGAAACCCGATTTTTTTTCTTCCGTCGGGCGACCCACCGACAACCGGCCGCCTGAGAAATTCCTCGCCAGGGACAAAAGGGGTCTCGAAACACGAAAATCCTCATCCTCATAGCCTCGCCGAGGTGTTGGATCTTATTGTCAGCGTTCTTCTTTTGCACAATCAAAAGGGAATGACCTGGATGCGACTTCTACAACGCATACCTGGTTGTTCGGCCTCAAAACTAACAAATCAATAGCACTTCATTTAACATTTAATATGTGATCGGTTGACAAGTTATAAATTCTAAAAGGGAATATAATATTCAACGTATGAGAAAGAGCGTACGAGTTAATTGGCAAAAACGCTTGTACGTTAAAAGAATGACCTCACCCCTCTTATATCCTCTATACATCCACAAAAACGTTTCATTTATATTTTGAATTATTACAATTTAATTTTTTTTTCAATACTAAATACTTTACAAAATTTGAAAAAAAAAACCTATGGGAAGTCCTAAGAAATATAGTTTACAAGTGAGTGGTCTGCCTAACAGAAAGAAAATCTTTTTATCGCCTAGCTTTTTTCCGTGGTATTATCACAATAATAATCAAGACTTTACAAACGTCAATACATTAAAGTTACCATTAAAAGAATTAGACGATGTTCCTTTCTAAAATGGAGGCAAATAAATGTCTTAAGGATTTTTCGTTGTCTTGGTGATAATTGATGTAAAACCGAACAGAAGATTAATTGGCTCCAATTTATTTTCCAATTAGAAGGAAATGATAAATTTAATGTAATTATCGTAATGTAAAGTTCTGATGAAGGCGGTATAATAACAGATGGCGACCTGTAGTGGATTGAATATCGGAGGATTTAAAAAAAAAAAAAAAAAAAAAAATATGCACACTGGGATGGCTCTATTAGAACTTGAAAAGGCTAATGACATTGTTTGGCACGACGGAGCCAAATACTGGATAATAAAATATAACTTTTCTACTTATCAAATAAAAGTTATTCATTCGCACAGTCGTACCTGAAAAAGAGAAAATTTCGTGTATCGCTCTCTCTACCCCTTACAAAATCATGGCTGGAGTCTTCCCAAGGATCAATCCTGAGCCCCATTTTGTTTAATCTGTTCTTCAATGCCTTACCCCTATCCAAGAAGTGCTCATAATCAAGAGGCTGAGCTCCGATATAGACAGAATTGCCCGTTTCTGCAATGGAATCGTACAATTTAATCTAAAACATCTAAAACAGAAGCCTTCTTCATGAGAAGAAGACCCGAGGTGACTGGCATGTTATAATAACAAGAGGGGCGTCGGTGGCCGCAAGGTTTAGTCTTTGACACGGCATCACTGTAAGGTAAAGGTCCCGGGTTCGAATCCAGCGGCCCTGCATTCGAACCCGACATACTTACAAATGGGCTTTTTTTTCAAAAACACCGGCACCCTGAGGGTTGATATGACCTCTGCTGTTGCCAACCCTCTTAAAAAAACAAAAAAAAAAAAACGAGATATTTCCCCGCGTCTCCTATTGTTAAATTCCTCGGCTTTTGACGGGGTTTGACGTTCACCAGACACGTGAGTGTCAGAGTTGATCGTGGCAAAACTGCAATAAGTCTGCTGTTCCCACTGTTTTCTCGGACCTTCACGATGAACTCATCAAGAAACAGTTCCTATATAACAGCGTTGTCAAGCCCATGCTCCTCTATGCTTGTCCTTCATTGAGTTCCACCTGTTGAACAAACCTCAGCAAGCCTGCCAAAATAAGGTTGAGGTTTGTCACGTCTTGCCCAAAATGGACAAGAATAGAGACCTTCCACGAAGTGAACACCATGAAGTCTATTGCCTTGGGGGTGAAACACAGAACGCCTAGCTTCTTCAGAAGAAGTGCTGCCAGCAGGAATGCGCTATGCAGGTCAACAGGTGCCTACAACATGGATATGCTCTGCAAACACTGGAGGGTTAAGCACATCGTTCGGCACAACTGTACGTGGACCCTTAGCTGCTAGGCAACACTATATATCCTTTTGAATTGGTAGAATCGCACTGTCACCATTCACGAAAAGTGGCATAACTTAGTTCCGTGTCGAGCTTTAAAGCATCGGTGTGAGCATTTATCAGGAAAAGTGGCACATTTCGAGTTACGTCATTTTTTTCTTGTTTAGTGAAGGATTTTATGCTGTACCGGGGTAACATTTTCACGTTATGAAAAACTAATGTTAAATCTTTTTCAAGTATCTTTTTCATAATGTGAAATTAATATAGGCCTGGTGGTGACCTTAAAATAGGTCGAAAGCTTGGCAGTAACAAGAGAATTTGCTTTTTTGTTCAAAACCATACCTTGATCTAATGTTCATAAATTGTTGTAGGTTTATTTCTTTTATTTTAATAACATTTTTAATTATAATATTGTTGTTTTTCATAATTTTCTTAACAATGTTGTCTTTTAACTTTTAAATTATTTCATAGTTTCAACGATTTTTTTAAATGTTTTAATTACACTATTTTTAATAATCAATAAAACCTTTATTTCAATAATTAAATTTGTATTTTAAATACCTAATTAGCCCTGAATCCAGTAGAAAAGCACATTTGGTTCAAACATAATCTTATTAAAACTTACTACATGGAACCGCCCCGAGGAATATCGAGTATTCTGAGGGAGTGAATGTGATCAGACTTCTATGTTTCTATCGAGTGTTGTGTTTGTGTTAATTTATTGAAATGGATGTAATTTATTAGCGTGAAATGAAGGGGTTGCTTAAAAACCCCGCCCCGAGGAATATCGAGTACTCTGGGGTGAGTATATGACGTCTGGAGAGTAAAAGTAATTTATTAGCGTGAAAGGAAGGGGTTGCTTATAACCCCGGCCGAGGAATATCGAATACTCTGGGGTGAGTGTATGACGTCTGGAGCGTAAAAGTAATTTATTAGCGTGAAAGGAAGGGGTTGCTTATAACCCCGGCCGAGGAATATCGAATACTCTGGGGTGAGTGTATGACGTCTGGAGCGTAAAAGTAATTTATTAGCGTGAAAGGAAGGGGTTGCGTGTAACCCCGACCCCTAGGAATATAGAGTACTCTTGGGGAGTGAATGTGACCAGACATCTATGTTTGTGGTGATGTATTGTATGTTTTGTTTCTATTCTGTATTTGACAACCTGAAGTCTGTTTTACAAATCGATAGTCTAGCATTCTATGATATCAACGTAGTATATATTTGAAATCAGAGAGTCAGTAACCAGATCGAGACGCTCAAATGGCTACAGTTTAAAACAAAATATGAGCGAAGGAAGGAAAAACGCAGAGGGCCGGCGATGACCTCAGCTGTTTGTCGGCCCATAAACTTCCCATTTTATATAGTACATGGAAATTCGTATGTTAGGTTTGTATGTTGTCTGTTACTATCACAAAAAAATTAATTCCCTTACAGTCGTTCATTGATCACCACTATCAACAAAGAAGCTAACTTAAATACTGAGAGACCAATATATGCAAGTAATGTGTCAAAACTGTGGTGGTTTTTTTAGGGGTAGTATAGTTGGATTTATAAAGTTTTGTTTTTGCTTAAGTGTTGGAAAAACGAAAGACAATATTGATAGACCAGGACGGACAGTTTTTATTGACGACAACCGTAATGGCGTGTACTTAATACATAACTCAAAAAAAACAAAAAAACTTCTACTTGTCCCTCCTGTAATTTTTTTTTTAATTATGCCACTTTTCTTGTGGGTATGCGATATATTTAANACACACACGCACACACGCACGCACGCACACACACACACACACACACACACACACACACACACACACACAAAGTGAAGCGCAAACAGTTGGATATGGAAATGACTGGAAATCGATTCATATGGACTGCAGATAAGAAAACCATACTGTAACTTGATTCCAGACACAAAAAAAAGAAAATGCCACAATCCATTGCGAAAAAAACGTGATCCATCTTCACAGAGGTGTTTTGAAAAAATCAACATATTTCGGCTCACACGAAATCTCGATTGGGAAATGGCCGACCCCACTCAAACACTTCGGATAGTTATCGGTTCGTAATCGCACCAGAAGTGGCTGGTGGAAAAAACAATGAAAAAAAATCAATGAATACGCTAACATGTGTCGGCTGATTATCGAATGAGCGAATAACAACTCGTAAAAACAAAAAGACGCAATCCATAAAGCTGCACGTGATGTATGACTAATGCCATGGGGGATGGGAAAATGAGATAAGATCCGCAGATTCTCAAGATGATCATTTAACAATTAATATAACTTACAAATTTCAGTGCATTTGAGTGAAAGAAGGTCAAGGAGTGTAAAACCAGAAATTATTAACTCCTAGGCGTTCCTGTCATCGGATGCCTTTCAGCGTTTCGCAGGCCTCAAAAGAAATTTCACAACTCTTTACGTGGGACAAACAATAAACTTAAACAACAATAAAACTTCGGGGGCTTAGTGAAAATTCGGCATGTAACAAGTTATGAAGCTCATAACTTAAAAGTACAGCAGGGATTTGTAGGCAATTCCATATTCTTTTTAGTAACACTCACGGAAGATGGTCATCAGATATTAATCTGGTAAGGTGTTTCAAATTTATATTTTTACCTATTTGAAGAATATTGCAAATTTGAAATATTTTGATTAGAAAACTAATAATAAACTAGGCAACTAAGAGCATGAAAGGACAAAACCTGAACTCTCTTGAAATAATATGTCATTCCATTCCCATATCCAAAATTTGTGGGTGTAGTTTTTTTTTTTGCCTTTCCTGAAAAATTAATTTTAGGTAGTAGTTATAAAATATATAGGCGCCATTTGAAACACAAAAATAGTCAGTTTCAGTCCTCTTTCGTATTTTCAACCTAGTAAACCTAAAAAAAAAAATGCCGAACGGTAGTCTGACCTTTTCTGCTAAAGTAGCAGCCTGGAGTTTTCCTTTCAATGTTATACAGAAATGAGTTAAATCACCATCGATGCAGGAATGATAAATTAGAAATGAAATTAAAAAGTATCCTTGTAAAAATACCAAATGGCTGCAATGGAGAAAATTAATGAAATCTTAAATGGAAAAATTATGTTGTTATACAGAGAATCGACGATCCAGTTATTTAAAGTTCCAACTGGTGCATACTTCATCACCTCTGTTGACGCTGAAAAGCTGAAAGAAATTTTTTTAAAGCGATATGCGCTGGAGTTTTACAAAAACTAACTTTGAAATGCGTATCATCGTCATTAATACAGATCATAAACTTAATTATTTTGTATATTTTAAATTTTATGATTTTTCGTGTGACTCAAATTTTTCCAGTCAAAATGAACGTGTATTATGTATATAAAAAAATGTATAAAAGACTGGGTTAAAATAAAATGATTCAATCATTAGTCGGTGATGTCTCCAACATATCCTGCGTATTTTAGTATTTTTAATACAAATTATATTATTGCATAAACGAGAGTTTTTTTAGTGTATGTATTTATTATTACTATTGTTATCATATATGGCCTATTTGAAGGTTTTGTAGTGCTTATATTACGGTATAGTTGAGGGTTTTTTTAGTGCATATTATATGGCATATTTGTGAGGGTTTGAGTGTATTTTATATGACATATTTGCGGGCATTTAGTGCATGTTATACGAAATATTTGAAAATTTTGTGGTGCATATTATATCGGACATATGAGTATTTTTTGAAGATTTTGTAGTGAAATAATATTAGATATTTGAGGGTTTTTTAGTGCTTATTGTATAACATATTTGAAGGTTTTGTAGTGCATGTTATACTGCATTTTGTAAGTTTTGTAGTGCATATTATATCGGAGATTTGGGTATTTTTTGAGGATTTTGTAGTGAAATAATATTAGATATTTGAGGGTTTTTTAGTGCTTGTTGTATAGCATATTTGACGGTTTTGTAGTGCATGTTATACTGCATTTTGTAAGTTTTGTAGTGCATATTATATCGGACATATGAGTATTTTTTGAAGATTTTGTAGTGAAATAATATTAGACATTTGAGGGGTTTTTAGTGCTTATTGTATAGCATATTTGAAGGTTTTGTAGTGCATGTTATACTGCATATTTGAAAGGTTTATAGTGCATATTATATCGGAGATTTGAGTATTTTTTGAAGATAGTGAAATAACATTAGACATTTGAGGGGTTTTTAGTGCTTATTGTATAGCATATTTGAAGGTTTTGTAGTGCATATTGTATGGCATATTTGAAGGTTTTGTCGTGTGTATATTACATGGCATGTTTGAGGGTTTTGTAATGCGTGTAATATTGCATATTTGAAAGTTTTAAGAGCATTTTATATGGCATGTTTGAAAGTTTTGTAGTGCAAATAATATTATACATTTGACGAGTTTTAGTCATTTTATTAAATGGCATATTTGAAGGTTTTTAGTGAATATTATATGGCATGTTTAAGGGTTTTTAGTCCACATTATACGGCTATTGGATGGGTTTTTTATTGCACATAAATATGGGCTCTATTTATAAAAAATATGAATGTTAATGTTTGTTTCGGTGCTGTTCTTTCCAAATAAAATGAATACCACTTTTCGTCTGGTGGACTACAAACCTCTAAGGCCGACGGAAAAATTTTGTCGTGTCGGGAACATAAACCGCGAGATAACACCGGCGTAAAGCGATAAAGCAAACCTGGAAGGTCCGGGTTCCGGCAGCGGAAAGTAAATATCACTGATAACGTGTCGGCTCCGAGATAGAATATCGTATCCGGTCGAAATTCCGGATGCTTGACAAGTCCTAGGAGTTACTTTACCCACATAGCGGTGGGGTTTTTCGCATTCAAAATTTATCATAGTACGGGCGTTTCTGACATTTTTTTTTTAATTAAACCCTTTCGAAAACGCCGAAGTTTTCAGTTTTCCAAATTAAAACAACACAAAAGTCAGTCCACGACGCGGTTGACCGTTAAGATATTCATTCGCAAGAGTATAAAGAGGATAAATAATAAAACTTCGTTATAACGCTCTTCTGAGATCCAAGGAAAAACAGCGCTATAACCTGTAAAGCACTATTACCGGGAAATCAAAATTAATTTATTAAAATTTGTTTTAAAACAAAAATTGTATAAAAATGTGTATGCGGTTACATAAAATAAAATTGAACACATTATGTACTTAGTCCATTATGTATTAGACCTGGCCTAAGATATGTAATGTAATGTTTTAGTGCTTATTGTATAGCATATTTGAAGGTTTTGTAGTGCATGTTATACTGCATTTTGTAAGTTTTGTAGTGCATATTATATGGCATATTTGAGGGTTTTGTAATGCGTGTAATATTGCATATTTGAAAGTTTTAAGAGCATTTTATATGGCATGTTTGAAAGTTTTGTAGTGCAAATAATATACATTTGACGAGTTTTAGTCATTTTATTAAATGGCATATTTGAAGGTTTTTAGTGAATATTATATGGCTGATGTAAAAACAGTAACATTTAACATGGGGGACCGCGGTAGCCGAGTGGTTAGCATGAGAGACTCTCACGCCGCGGTCGTGGGTTCGATTCCCACGTCGCCTCTGGCCCTTTTTTCACGATAACCCCCCCACCCAATTTGAACACACATATAAGAATTGTCACCATGGCTAATATGCATAGATCATAACGTAAAAATAAAAAAAACCTTTTTTTCAACATGCGATTTTCCAATTCGTTCATTTTGTTGAAGGTTTCTTCATTTACGGCGGTTTATTACAGGAAAAAAATCTGCGAAGCGTTTTCATCGCATCTAAAACGTCGGTTGTATTCGGTGTGCTTGTTACAGGTGTATCATCATCCTCTTCTTCATCATTTTTCGATGAATTGAGATGATCTACAATTATGGTCACCAGGCTTGAAGTTTCGATGGAAACAAGATTACGATAAAAACATCAAAACCTACCAACAGGCAGTTATAAGGTCTTCCCAAGTTTCGTCATTCATCGATGAATCATTGATGAAAATACAAAAAATAAAATAAAATTATAATAGGAAAACCATCAACTCTGCGATTTCTTTTGCGTTCTGAATTCCCAATCCTGCTTTCTTTCATTCAGAATTGTTTCTTTCTTTGCGTCCATCCATGGAGCGTGCAAAAAGTGGATGGCGTCTAAAATAGAAATTTTTGGCTAAGTCTTCCATCATTAATAGGTATTTTTACTCGATCCTTCTTCTGTAGCCTTGCTTCAGTTCTTTTATTATTCCTCGAGAGGTTATAACTCACTGGCAGTGTTTGACGGCAAGAAAATGAGCTTGTTCTGCAGTTCAACATTTTTTGGATGTGCAGCACAGTTGTCTACGGGCCCACTCGTGTAGCAATTGTGAAAACTGATCTCGTCATCCACATGATTGATTTAAAAAAAAATTCCTTTTTTGCCTATTTTGTGCGTTTTTAACAATTTTTTTAAAACCTCAAATTGGAGCGTTATAGCTAGTAAGCGTTAAAACGAATAAAATTGTCGTTGAAAAATCGTTATGGGATTTTGACCGAGGGAAAAGAGCGTTACAGCCAGGAAATCGTTATAGCGAAGTTTTACGTATGAACTTTGGCCTCCGGTTCAAAATTGCGTGTGCGTATGCATGAAAAATTCAAGTTTACGAAAGGGAATAGGCCACGGTTCCAGGTTCTTTCCAAAAACGGAAGAAATCAATCTGGGATGACTCATTCCTTCTTCACGAAAAAAGAATTTTGTATTACATCCGGACCTAGTCGTGAGAAAAAATTTCGAAATCCTACCAATGAAGAAACAGTTCTTTTAAAAAAATGATTTTGCGTTTTGAAAGTCCTTGTTCGCGGTTTGTATGAGGATCCAAAAAATCTTAAGCAGCGATTCAATGAGGTCAAATAAAAAAAGATAAGGTTTTTCATCCTATACAAAAGTCAATCGTACAACTGTTGACCTTATGGTGCGTGAGCGAGGGGGTAAGCATCAGCACTTAAACCCAAAAAAGTTTATAATCTTCCAGAACAAAGTTATGAGGCAAATAAATCGACGTGTTCTCAAAGATTTGAATACGGATACTATAAGTAAGTACATTGTAGAAAAAACGCCAAAAATACAACTCTAATCTGTCGATGAAGCGTCCCTAACCCGAATCAGAGATCTAATCATCATAAATACAGTTATTATTTTTATTTATTTTCTCTTGGACCACACTTAATCAATAGAAAAAAAACACGAAGGAATACCCAACTCCAAAGTTAAAACTGTTGTTACATACATTTAAAAAAGGTTTCACATTCTCAAATAAAATAAATCAATGCAACAACCATATAAATAATAATTATAAAATGGATCTCATTTGATTGAATTTGTTGGAAACACGAATGCAAGAGACGCAATTTTTAAGTCGCAAACGAGACAAAACAGGAAACTATTAGTACCTACAAATTAGCTATTAGAGGTTTCCTGTTTTCCTTAATGGCTCAGCATTTTACCTGAAACGATAAGAGGGTTTCAAGAAATCACTGACAGTGGCCCCTCTACCAGCCGGCTATCGCACAGATGCAGGAGTATCAGAAGAACACATCCTCTACACAGTATACGAGACATTCCTACCTTTTCTGAAACTATCCTTACCTATGGGGATGATACCGCGTTTGCTGTCATGAAGATCCTGTCATCTCAACCAGAAACTTGCAAACCCATGTTACGACCCTTGAGCAGTGGTTCAACCGGTGAAAGATGACAATAGCATCCCTCTCCCGCCAGCTATGCAGTCCCCGCTATGTTGAGCTATTCATTGACTAACAACTCACAAGGAAGCCACACACGACTCAAAAGACAAGAACTAAACAGACTTCTTAACAGATTGCTGGACAAACGAATGACTCTTCAAAACAAACGACTCATATCTATTTCTATTTTGAGACCCAAACGAACATACGGCTCCATAAACTGTAGGGTTCAACAAAACGTTCCAACCTCTTATGTATCCAATCCCTACAATCCAAGATCATACGAACCATCGTCAATGCTCCTTTTTATCCGTACAATCTTACCATTCACAATGACTTAAAATCCAATATATCCTTGAAGTAGCGAAGAACCGCTACCGAAAGTTTCACAAACAATTATCCAGTCACACAAACCCTCATGTCAGAAACCTTTCATCCCGCACCCCTTCCAAGTAATCCTCCCCGACGACTGAAGCGTTAGTCACAGTGACCTCTTAAGTGACAATGAAAGTGATTAACGCTAATACATAGAAGTGACTACAAATAGTTCCTCTTCTTTTCTTATTTATTTATAAAATATGTACCTACTGAATGGAAGTTTGGGGCTCCTGTATCCAATCTCTCCAATCCAAAATCCTTCTGTCTACATCTCCAGTAAAACCATTCACACTGATCTCCTAGTCCAATTGTTCAATACCTTGCAAGAACACATAATTCCACAATACCCTTTCTATGCACCCAAATCTCCTCTTCCAACCACTTTCCACACTAACCCTACCTGAAAACCCTCCACGTCGACTGAAGAGGGATGGCCTAGGGAATTGCTTCAATGATGTGTATGTGTGTGCAGTGTGAAGGTGTGTCACCAGTCTTCTCACACATGTTTAATTATCACGTTAGACAATGAATTATCGAATTTACTTATTAAATGAAAGTTTTAAGTGTAAATAACAATAAATAAATTATATTAAATTTTTTTTATAGGGGATAGGGATAGGAAACTGCAGGACCTTTTGCAACTTGACCAAACTAGATCTATTTGCTCCTCTATTTTTATAGCTCACTGGCTTTTCCTCTTGTAGTTGTAAGCATCTGCATCTGCATAGACCTTCACCAAAACATAAAACGTGTTCTGCGGTCACTCTCTTCTTCCTGTCAGTATGTACCTTCCGTCTGTCCTCCTATCCGGTGCATGTGCCTTCTTAGGCGGCTGCGCCCTGTTAGGAGCCCAACCAGAATCCTCGTTCTGTTGCTGTTGCCCTCCATTATTTTGTAAGTCTTACGGATGGCCCCTTCTATGGATCTCGTCGCGTGCCTCGCCTCATACCTGGGGTATTGCTCAACCAGGTTTTGCACTCATTAAGGATACATTTTTAGATGCATCTTTCTTTGTGGCACGATGTTCATATTGGTTCCTTTATTGGGCACCTTGTCCACCCTCTCATTGCCTCTATGTCCGTAATGCCCAGAGACCCATGCCAGGGTCAGATCATTGATTCTTCTCAAGTAACTAGTAACTTCTGAAATCCTTTTTGGTTTTGAGTGTTCGAGGAGTCTTTCGTGGATTATTTCCGATCCTGAGAAGTAGTTTTTGATCAATAAAGAGAGTGTTTCTCCTTCTGTTTGTGTAAAGCTTCTTTGTGTAAGCCTACCTGCCTCCCAGTATTTTCCTCGCAGAATCTCGTTTAGCTTTTCGGATTTCTTTGTTGTACTGGTTCAGGGCATCTTTGTATGTATCCCACTCATTGTGGGGCCTTGGCTCGGTTGAATAGAGTCCTCGAGCTCTCAGTCTTTCTGGGCGTTTGGTTCACCAGACTGTTTTGTATTTATTTTGCCTTTTCTTTTCTGCAGTTTTAGGTGTAGGTGTTCATTATGGCACTGGTCACCTCCTGCACAGAAATTTTTAAGCTCTCCCTATCTCTTTACTCCTAGTTCACCACCTGTAAGGATTATTGGAAGGTTCTTTCGCCCCCTGTCCTACTGGTGTTCCTGGGTTTCTAATCGTTTTTTCCATTGGAGAGGGAGTATATAAATCAAATCTGATATGCCTATGATCAGAGTTTGATGGTCCTGTGGATACTTCCATTTTAAAATGGTATCATCGGCCCCTTGGGACATAATATCAGGTTAAGACTTCTTGCCTACATCGGGTGATGAAAGTGGGTTCAGTGTTCGCAATATTTAACCCTTCACCAGTTAGGTAATCTGATAAAGACTCACCTCGGGTGGTGATGTTTGTATACGTAATAAGGTGAGCATTTGCATGACTCGTTTCATGTTTTGTGCCCTTGAATACCTCACTATGTCATGCAGTAACTTGGGTGGGCATGGTTCCTCTTTTCTCTTCTTTATGTATAATTTTCGTGTTCATTTTGTTTTATTTTGTGTTCTACGATGTTATCTAATTTACCTATGCGCAACAAATGGCGGCTGTGTAAATAAATAAATTAAAACAAAATTTATGGGCAGTTAAACGGAAAGTTTTTGTGTAAACCATCGTGACCGGAGCTAGCCGTTTACATGCCCAGAGTCCCAATTAGACTTCAGTCGTGTCGATTATAATCAATGATTTCCCACTTATGATCATTACCAGCGACGTCTTCTTCATTGGGCGACCACGTTTCTAGAACGCAAACAAGACTTCCGATTTAGATATTAAAGACGAGGGAACTTCACAAAAGAATGCTTACTTTTATTAACATTGTCTAAGTTTATGTTAACATATCCGTGGTTAAAAGTTGAAAAGTGACAAGATGAGAGTAACTAGAAAGTGTGATTTGTTTCTTGTTTTTGGGCGAATATTTTCTTCAGAAAAAGGAAAAACTATGAATGTTTGAGGTAATCGGCAAATAAAAATGTATTCTCCGCACACATCCGTGATCTTTTTGATATTCAGAGTCACGTTACTTAAAAGTTCGATTGCACAACACATAGAAAAACGGCTGCCTTCAACTGTTCTTTATTAATATCCATTAGAAAGAAGCAATCTAGCAATTTAGAACCAACGGTAAAATTTGGTAATAATATTTAGAAATATTTTCATTACTGACTTCTTATAGTTTGCAAAGGTGAGAAGAAGAAGTAAATATTTTTTTATTGTGGGGCAATGGGCACTCTGTTATAATAAAAAAGTACAAAATTTTGGCACAATTCGTGCCAAATTGAATATATATATAAACATTTAAATGTAATAGTGTAAAAATAAATGATACGTTCCAAATTAACAGAACATTAACCATCCTCGGTGTTAAATTGTAGGGACTGAAGGTGGCCAAAAAACGGGACTTAAGGTAAAAATGGTAG